GCTGACAGAAAGCGCTTTGCGCTGCACTTAGCGCTTAAGAAAACGGAAATTGATATTTCTGTAACTAAATATATGCAAGACTTAATATTTTAGATTAAAAATAATTATTTCAATGGTAATTCTCCGATCAAAGAAAACGGATTTTGTTAGTTCTATTAGACGATATACATGTATGTGGGTCGTATAATATGATTGAATTGGATGTCATGATATGCAGAAAGAGGGATACGATTGAACAAAAATGGCAGCATTGAATGACTTAAATTATAACAAGTTTATCTTTTAAAAAGATAGGTGGACTAGCGCCGTAGCATTTTTTAAACACAGAAAGGAAGATCCGTGATCAAGTGATTTATTTTGCTGAATTCTTTAATTTTTATCGAGGCCTGAGAGTGAAAAAAATATTGTTTTGTGAAGCGTATTTTATAGACACATGTGTAAAAAAAACAGGGGGGGGGGTTGTTAGGTGATTTATTGGAGTTTTGGCGCAACGGAAGGTATATGACCTTTACTGGAGAGGGGGGGGGGGGGGGCTCTATATAATATGAAGAAGATGCCGATTGAGACATTGCATGTATGAGCTGATTTAAAGAAGAGAATTTCTTGGCAATTTAGCAAAAAAAAAAAATACATGGGAGTTGAAAGGAATATAGAAAATAACTCAAAGTGTATGTTGTGTAAAGAGTCCAGAGAGTTTGGAACGCATGTGAAGTAGCTTCCTCCTTTGGGTCATCTTTGTCAAGACATGTTAGGTTAAAAGCCATACACATCACATCAGAATTTCTTAAACACAAATAGTGGATTTATTCGTTATTTTTAGTGTAAATTCTTGCTTCTGTTTCTGGAATTTGTAAGATTGGCTGAATTGACCAATCAGAATTAGAGTCTATCTTTGATTGTGCTTAGATTAAAAAAAAACTCCCTTGTCATTGTTCAGAACAATCAGATAGTGACTCAGGCTTTTCCCTCAGCAAAAAAAAAATTTAAAATATTATAAATATGAAGTTATCTTTAAAGTGTAAGCTACACAGTATATGAACAGTTATTTCATGCTACAGCGTGATACAACGAAATTGTTATCGTACGGTCTATCTGTAGTAGTTTTCACAGTTTTCCCAGAATGCACCACCATGGCGGCCGAGCATGCGTATTCAAGGAATTTGGACTAACGTAGTTGCTAGCGCTCGAGAGCGCTAGCAATTACAAATTTTATCCTTAAGTTTCCATTGATTCAATGTCTGATAAACTTGCTAATTATTCAACTTTTTTATTTGCAGAAATTTAAAATAAATTAGTTACAAAAAAGCTCAAGGGATAAACACAGATAATCAAAACTCCCGAAAATCATGCCGTGTCGACTAACTAGTTATGTAAGCATTAGGAAATGTTTATTTCTTTGTAAAAAAAAAATATTTATTTTCAATGAATTGATTTCAAGATTATCTTGACCACAATAAGAAGTAAATAATAATTAAAATCAGATTTTTCAAAAAGGCTTAAGAGATCTAAGTACGGTTTATCACAGTATTGATCGCGCTATTTGACGAGAACTTAATATTGTACGACTTACTATATTGCTTGTTTACGGGCGATAATTAGGTCGTTCTGCATTTTATTACGTCAACTGCGCTTTCTCATTTTATTTGGATTTTAATTAATAAATCTAGAAAAACAAACAAGGGAAATACTTATTTTACAAATAACATTCCGATAAAAACTTACAAATCGAAATTTACACGATTCTAAACGCACGATCTCGCACGATTAAAAACGCATATGATTAAGGCGGATACACGAACGATCTCGCACGTTACACGAACGATCACTCACGATACACGAACGATTCTACACGATTGGTTTGTCAACAATAAGGTTCCAGCCAATGTACATGTTTGAAGTATGAAAGCCCTATCCCCAACCGTTTAAAAGTTATGTCCAAGGTTAGAGTTTTTTCACAATTAAGGAAATCTACAAGGTCAAGGTCAAAGGGTCAAAGTTGTTGTTATTCAGTGAAAGGTCATTTCACAAACATTACATATGTGAAGTATAAATGTCCTGGTATCTACTGTTCAAAAGATATGGCCAAAGTAAAATTTTAAAATTTTCATGTAAAAGTGGGTCAAACTCCAAGGTCAAGGTCAAAAGGTCAAATTTGGTGGTACCCAAAGAAAGGTCTTGTCATAAGGATAAAAAATGTAAAGTATAAAATCAGTGGCCCTAACTCTTTAAAAGTTATGTTCAAGGTTTGCTTTTTTAAAGTAGGTCAATCTCAAAGGTCAAGGTCAAAGGGTCAAAGTTCTTGGTATCCAATGAAAGGTCTTCTCACAAGGATTACATGTTTGAAGGATGAAAGCCCCATCCTTTACCATACAAAAGTTATGGCCAAGGTTGAAGTTTTGTCACAAGTACGGAAATCTACAAGGTCAAGGTCAAAAGGTCATGTTTGTTGTTATCCTGTGAAAGGTCTTTTAACAAACATTACATATCTGAAGTATAAATGTCCTGGTGTCTACAGTTCAAAAGATATGGCCAAAGTAATATTTTAAAATTTCCATGTAAAAGTGGGTCAAACTCCAAGGTCAACATCAAAATGTCAAATTTGGTGGTACCCAAAGAAAGGTCTTGTCAAAAGGAATACACATATGAATATGAAAGTCATAGCTCCACTAAATCAAAAGTTATGGGCAAGGTTAAAGTGTTTGCCGACAAACAGACAGAGAGACAGAGAGACAGACAGATAGACAGACGGAAACGACAAAAACTATATGCCCCCGAAACTTCGTTTACGGGGGCATAAAAATACTTATAAGTTAGAGCTTTTAGTTGCTTGAAAATTAAATTATTGTGGATAAATTCATTTGTTTTTATTTTTAATACAATGAATAATTTAAAATAAAGGAAAGTATGCTATCTTGACAAATTTAGTATATGGTCAATGTTTTAAAAATGTTGCAGCAATGACCTTGAAACAGAGGTTGATTGAAAATATTATCTTTATTGTATATGTACTTGAGCAGGTGAATCAGTCGTGGAAAACGGAAGTAAAACAATTTGTATTAGGATCAAAATCGTATGCTATCGAATATTGTCTTGAATTATAAATATGCTCTTTGCAAGATGTTGTGGTTTGTTATGCGCTTGTTGCCTTCAATGTTGTTGCTAGGAATGATTTTCTGTGATGTTATACATGTAATTGGTTGTCTTTAAATAGACAATAAATGAGAAAATACTTTATAAGATATACATATTAACATGTCATATAAAAATGAAGCAAAATCAAACTTATTTTGAACTTGCAATAAGTATAATATTTTGATGATACGTACAATGTTAACTTAAAAATTTTATTTTGAAAATCATAAACTAAAATCAATTAGGATTCTCAATGTGCTAAGCGCATTTCAAAACGTCTCAAAATCAAGATGGGGCCACGGCATACTTCAGTGTGCAGAATATAATTAAGAAATTAAATCTTTCGCTTGACACTACGAGCTTCAAATATTGCTGTTTTTCGTGACATGACAATTAAAATTGCCACGGCATGTGTTCATGAAAAGAATTGCACATTGACCTTGATCTCGAGTAAAGGTTTAAATCAGGCACTCCCCAAACTATAATTATCTGGCATATCTCATGAGTAAAATAATATTCCGAGTGACATAAAACCATAATCATAATTATTTTTGTAGGAAAAGAAATGTATATATAAAATATAATGCAAGGTTTTAATGCTTTAAACAGGAAATGCTTTAATTTCCATGGAACTACATATGTAATGTACAAAGCTGTTTCAAGTTACACAGTGTATATTATACATGTATGTACAAACTTTAAAAAACATAATAATTACGTTTTATATTTGTAACAAAACAAACAATCTAATGAACAATCAAATAAATATAAAATAAAAACAATAAGACTGCATAAAAAATACCACATCTGACTTTTCATATTTTTTTTTACAAACGCTGAGCTTTTCACGTAGACGAGATTGGAGATTTAATTTGAGTTTTATGGTGAATTTAATCTCGTACCAATATTTATAGCCCGATAATTGTTTTAAAATGACACCTTATTGTGACTTATTCGTATTTTATAATTGCCTGACTATGACTTCAACGTTTGAAATGTTTTTTTTTTTAAACAAACGGTATATTTGTAATCTATTGTTTGCACGTCAAAACTTTATAACCTCACAAAGAAAAAAAACGTCAAACGTTTATGACGCTCGAGGAACCTGAATTTATACAGTTATAGATACACTTTGCTTTCAAAAGTTTCAAAAGGGAAATATTAGCAATGGTAAATATTATAAAGAACTCTTTTTTATTCAATAAGATTTATTAAATGTTTGGCGGATCTGGCTGTGGTGACCTAATTTATGGCAAATTTGGTATGGGGAGTCGGATCATCTCATTAACAATTAATAACAAAAGTTGCTGCCACAAGTTTAATAAATTGTGCATAAAGCAAAGTTTATGAATACACAAAGTAACACCAAATGAATATAAAAGGCCGATATCCCATTAACACTATTATCAATGTCAAATCAATACGATATGGAACAAAGGGCATATATCCCACTGATTAAGCCGTCAAAATTCCATCAATACAATTGTTAAGAGGTCAATATCCCAAACTTGGAATTTAAAATATCAGTGTTTAAAAAAAATACCTTTCAAGTTCAACTGCAATTCAAATAAATAAGGAGTCAGTTATATATACAATATTTACATTTAGAATGTATTGATGTTAGTACTATGCATATAGTTTAAATTAAAATGAGTACAGTCTCGATAGCCAATGTAAATGGGTTATTTTTTTAATTAAATCGTATAAGGTACCAATTTGGATGAATCAAATGTGCATTTCGACAATGTTATGTCTGATAATTTTGAAAATTTAAAGAGTTGAAAAATTGAGGCCAAAATATCGTAGGATCATATTTTCAAAAGAATATATTCCTTACATTTTTAATATAAATTTTAAATATTTGCCATTTATTTTGCAATTTATTTTATATCAGTATTTTTAAGCCGGTATAGAAGTACGAAGAAGCTAATCCTTTTATGAAATTTGAAATGAATTTCTGAAAATGTTCATATGTCACAGGAGTTAAATATATTTGTATTTTCAAGCCTGTAGCAAATTACTGAGGTAATATCACAAGATATCCTTAATGATAAGAATATGAAGTGGAAACCACAAAATATCACTATTACGAGAACAATTTCGAAAGGTTATAGAAAACGCAACCAAAGTTGTAACCTTTATCCTCCTTAATCATTTCGTCTGCTATCACCGCCAACCCTTCCCAAATCACGTTTCCATTTTCTATGATATCGATATTTCCTTTCTTCATGCACCAAAAATATCATGGCATTATAAGACAAGTAAATGATTTTAAAAATAAAAAGTGATTGTTTAGGAAAAAAAGAATAAATTTCGGGGTGTTTCATTACGGTATTATTTCAGTCATCTTTAACAGCTATAAGGTATGGATTCCCAAAATCTTCGTCTTTCCTCTTTGATTCATTTTGGGGGTGAGGAATAAGAGGTAATTGCTCTTCGATGCTCTCAGGGGACATGTATGCCATATTCATGTTGACATTGGCAACAGGAAGTGAGCAGCATTCTTTCAATTTTATTGTATCAGCTGATTTCATAATGTCAAAAGCAGCTCCCCGGTTTCTTCCTTCTTGGTTTGACTGTTTTGTTTGGAACCCAACCTTAAATGTTTTCGTTTCAGTATCATATTTGATTTTTACTTCAGCGACCCCATCAAAAACTACATCGTTATCATGGTGCAGTGGGTAGCTCTGCTCGATGTTACCTAAGCTATGGTAATGATCTGATTCACTTGAAAAATCTTTTGGTTTAAGCGTTTGGATTCCTTTTGTTTTCTGTCTCCTTACTAATTTCTTAATGAAATGCGCAAATACAAGAAGCAAAAAGAAAAGAAGAATAGAGGCAATACCAATTTGAATAGGAAATTGAAAGTTGTTGTTATTTTCATTCCTGTTTTTGTATTTCTCAAAGCCCCGAGAAGCAAAAGTGGTAGAAAAAATGACTTTGATATTTGCTTCTATGAGGTGAGTCGAGTTCTCCTTTTTATCAAAATCCCCAAAAACTGATGGTATTGTTTTTGTTGTAAGCATCGAATTCAATTTTCCATAATCTAAAATTGAAACAGAGCATTCGATATTTTTCAGTAAAACTAAAAATATCTTTAAACCATATTTTTCTATTTAAATTTTAAGAGAATATATTGAAAAAATATTTTGTAGCGTGCAAGTATTTTAAAAGTTCCTTTAAATTCAAGATAATCTAAATCTTTCAAATAAGGCGACTTACATTATACCATTTCATTCCCTAGTCAATTTTAAAGCCGGATGACAATTAAAGGGAAAATGCACTTTTCAATTAAAACAAACAAACAAACAAATAAACAAAAAAACGAAGGAAATAAAAAAAAAAATACTAGTTATGCCACTAAATCTTAATTATTTGTTCATTACTATGTATTTATTTTTTGATACAATATTTTATGTTGAAAAAAAAGAATTTAATTTTTTTTTTATTTTTTTTTAAGTGTTTAGTCTGATGCAAAGACTTGACCTGTTATACTCCCGTTTCTCATTGAAATGGAGAACATTCATTTGTAAAATAAAAAAAAGTTTTTTTTTTTAGGTAACTAGCAAACTTTGATCAAATGTCAAAATTCAATTTACTGCCAATAAGTATAAAAACCATGTAATAATAGTGATATTTCGTCAATTTTACCATCTTTAAATAACTGACATGTTTATCTACGTTTCAAAACACTTGAGACATATAAAATCAATACTAAATTGAGAAATTCACAACTTATGTCAAATTTGGGACAAAAATGCAATTTTGCGATGCTGATATAAGTGTTCGGCATTTGATGTTGTGCAAACGCATGTATACCAATCTGAAAGTCGATAAACACAGAAAAAAACTCTCATTATTTGCATTTATTACCGTGGGCAATAAAAAGATAAAAGGTATAAGCAAAGAATTAAAGCCATGTAGAGGCTATTTAAGCTTTGATAATTTCTGTAAAATCAAAACTGCCCAGTGTACGCTGAGAATGCAGTTATTATATCTTGAACTCTTGATAATCATACAGGTATTGAACTGATACAATTTAGTGAATGTATTATGACGTCACGAATAATTTTCCACATATCCTGTAAATTCCTTTTAAATGGTCTAAATCAAATAACCATTTTTTTTCCAATATTTCATGTAGAGCACAATCGCCAATCCAAATTACACAATGAGAGGTCTCTTTCTTAAGATGAAAAAATGATTTAACTTTTTGATCGTGGTTATACTTTTTTTGTTTTGCGGAACGTAGACAAATATACACTTTTTTCTGCAAATTGAAATTCAAGAACATCGTATTTTCTTAAACCTGTTTTTTCCAATACTTGGATTCTCAAAAAGAATTTTTGATTAAGGAAATTAAAACACCAAGGATCTACTTTATTCTGAAATGTATGAAATGTTAAAGAGGGTGGTAGTCAAAAAATTAATATCATGACAGGTCCAAATTATGCAGTGAGTTCTTTAGATCTAAATTATATTAATTTTGCGGATGGCTATAGTCGAGGAATAGCGGTAAATTGGGATGTAATTTCTGGAGGTAGTATTTGGTTAAAGGAATTAATAGATGGTTGGAACTTTAAACCTAACAGGGAAAATGAATTAATCATAGAATCAAGAAATAAATAAAATATTGGAGTTTTTATATTTCTTTTTATTTTACATAGAATATTAAGATAAAAGAAGAAATACCTCTTGATTGTTTAACTGATGTTCTGTAAGGTGATGTTTCTTTCAAGGTTTTTGTGTAGGAGTCTACAAAACAGAAGCAAAAAAGACTAGAAAGTCTTTTAAAAAAATCCCTTTTTGCCTCTTCTCTATTTCGGATGAAAAATATATGTGGAAATACACTGTCAGAGGAAATACCTTTATTAAAAAAAACTAACAAAAAGTGATATTGAAACGATATCTATGAAATGAAAACAAAAGAAACTGAACCGGGGAAAAATGTAGTCAATCCATCTAGGCAACCAACTTGTCTTGAAGAACTTCAAACCTTTAAAATACTTTTTAATTCTTTTTTTTTTAGTAAAGGGAAACCTTTATATGAGCAGATGCTTTATTAAATTGAATTAAATATCACCTGTATGAAGGACACAGCCACGTGCGAAATGGCATATTTGTGCTTCACATCCACACCTTTTTATGCAGTTGTCTCCATAATTAGGAAAGGGACAAACACGAGAACAATCCAAACCGTAATATCCGGAAGGGCATTCTAAATAAAACAGAAGCATATAAAAGCATGAATAGAACACGCATCAGTTTCTAAATAAGTCAATGGCAAAGAAGTATAATATTTCTTTACATAACAATGGCAATTAAAATGATTTTGCTCTTTAAATTCCATTTGAATTCCTTTTAACAATAAAATTCACATATTTTAGGTTTATGCTGAAAAAAACTTACTGGTACAATTTCCGTATTCGTCATTCCATTTGTATCCCGAGCAACATCTTAAACCATTTTTTCTGTAAAAAGTAAAAATGACCTGAAGTTTTTCATTGATAAAACGATAAATCAAAAACAAAGTTAAAAAGAAATTAAAATTTCTTTAAAAAAAAATGAATTACCCATCGCACTTTGAAATTTCTCCACTGATTGAATAAAGCTGTAACACAGCAATTCCTGCAATTGAATATAAAGGATTTGATTTCATTTTCCGGAGGCTTTTTACATGTACATTTAGATGCCTTTAAATTCAAAGATTTGGATACCAGAATGATCTTGATTTCCCAGTCATACATTTATAAGCTTATCAAAAATAAAACAAAGTTCCGGGAAATCAACTGAAAATGTAGTCTGGCTTAATTTTCCAAAAATAACTTTTGAAAGGAAATAGAAGCGAAGAAATCTAGCTTTGTGGCGCCCTACGCTCAACATGCATTTGACATCTTTTATCACTATCTTCCTTGTTCAAAATTAAGTCTGGCATAAATTTGTGATTAATGATGAATTATCTAATAGATTATTAAATTTATTTTATTTTATGTTCCGTTTTCGATCCTACTGTGTATTATTTCCAGCTATAGGAACATAGGAACCACGCCTTTAAATATTCCTAGAAAATCATTATACCGGTAATCCTGTAAGTATTTTAATAAGCATTTGTTTAAATAAAATGATTAATTCTAACATTGAATCTGTATGTATGAGGTTTCCACCTAGTTCGACCAAACTAACCACACTTACACTGTTTGTCACGAGATATGTTTAAAATAAGAAAACAAAATATGTACAACTAGAATGATCGTAAAATTTTAACGACATACGAATAATTGTTCACTATGAATTTGATTTAACCCGAATAATGCTGGGGCAAATTATTCATGCCTGGTTCATGCGATGTACTTTTTATAATTCTTGGAACTAGTTCTAACACGTTTTCTTGCATCATTTATAAATACGTATTACATGTAGGAACATTTTTTTCCGTATATATGCACCAATTGTTAATCAATAGACCTGCATTATTATTCATCGATTGACGAAGACATTGCCCTTATCAAAATTCAAAATTTCATTATCGTTCTACATACATAGGTATTTACAAAGCTCATAACAACATGTTTTCCAGAGAAATTTAATGAATAACGTAACAGCTAAGTCATAAACATAAAAAGTATAATTACCGTATATCATTCTTGCTATGAAAAAATTATTTTTCAACTACGGTATCTTAGTTATTAAAATAAGAACGTGTAAATCCTTACCATTAAACTGATAAGTCTTTTTACTCCGGAGTTCCAAATGACAATAAAGACTGAATGATAAGTGAACGCTAAACGCAAGGTGAACGCAAAGTAAACAGAATGAAGAGCGAACAGTGAACGTTGTTTGAACGGTGAAAACGGGGGCACGGTGAACCGTGAACACAAAACTGTGAAGGTAGAGCGAACAGAGAACGCACGCTGAACGAACGTTGATCGAACGAAAAAATTGAAAAGAAGAACATTTCAGGAACTGTATCGTGCAAACGCATGTTGTGACAAAAGTTCTCGGTTTTTAAGGTCGGATTCAACGGACTCGAGCTTTCACTTCACTGCCAAGCGCATGGTGAATGTACAGTTGCTACTTGTTTTTTGTAATCGACTTAGATCAGTCGTGGTCGAAATAGAATTCACGAACTTCTGGTCTCGGAGTGAGCGCTCTACCGAGTGAGCTAGGGTGAACGGTACTCTATTATTAGGTCCTGAGTCACTTAGGTGACCTACTGTTATCCGTTTTCGTTCGTCATCGTCCGTCGTGCGTAGTGTGTTCTGTGTCGTGTGTCGTCTGAAACCGCTGAACCAATTTCAACCAAATTTGATGTACAGCATCTGTGGGTAAAGGGGAACACCTGGGGCCTGGGGCTGGAGGTGGGGGCCAAAACCACCAAATTTAATGAATTTACAAATCTCTTCTTTACTCCTGTACATCAAGCAGTCAAACTGTTGGCAAAAATGCAATCCGCATTAAGTCTTCTACCAAAATTGTGAGTTTTATTGCCCGAGTGTCAGGGGCTCTAGTGCTGGGGTAGCGCTATATTGATTCTATAGTGAAAATGCATCAATACTTTGAAAATCTTCTTCTCTGCTCCTGGGTATGAATAAACTAACTTAGCACATAGTTATGATGAGCAGGAGTGCCTTTACCAAAATTGTGAATTTTATGGATTCTGGTGTTAGGGTGGGTTTCTGTTGATTATTTTGATTGATTGATTGTATTGTATATTGAGCAGTGAGGGTTCTTTATCGTGCCAGCGCCTATCGTAACACGGGACCTACGTTTTTAAGGTCATATCCGAAAGACCCGTGACTTTTACTTCTGCTGCCGAGCGCTTGACGAAGGAACAGTCACTACCTATTTTTTACGTTTTAGGTTTGACGCGGCGCCGCGAACGAGAATCGAACCCGGGCCTCCTGATCACGAAGCGAACGCTCTACTACTAGGCTACCGTGAACGGTCTCTGTTGATTATAGAGTGAAAATGCATTTATTGTTGATATTCATTGAAATAAACTAACTAAGTCAATAGTTATAATAAGCAAAAGAATCTACCCAAATTGTGAATTTTGTAGCCCCAGGGTCAAGGGTGTTTGTGTTAATGCGGGGTTCTAATAATTATATTGTGAGAATTCATTTATTCTTTGAAAATCTTCGTATCTGTTTCAAGGTATAAAATAAACTAACTAAGTACTTAATTATTGTGAGCAATAATGCCTCAACCAAAATTGTTAATTTCATGGCCCATGTCATAGATACAATGTATTTTCACTATGCTCCTGGGCAATAAGCAGATGAACTATCTTTATTGTTATGGTGTGCGAGGGCTCTTCTTTCACAATTGTAAATTTCAAGGCCCTTTGGTCAGAGATACCATTGGGGGGAGGGGGGTCTGTACTTATAAATTGAAAATAAATTGCTTGAAATCTGCTTTTTGATACTAAACACATATTTTTAATACAAAAGTATGCCTTTTCAAAATTTGTGAAATGTGTGGACCTAGGGTTAGGGGTTCATGTTCGGAAGGGTCACTTCTGATATTGCTGAATGTTACTGATTAGTTGAAATGCATTTTTTTCTCCCTACCCTGCCTATTGGTATTAATTATCGGTAACTAAAGTAAGTGGGTGCTAAGTTATAGTTATGATTAGCAATGGTGATTCTATCAAAATTTTAAATGCCATAGCATCTTGCTTAAAACATGAACCAAATTCAGTCATTTAAAAGTTTTTGCGTTATGCTCGTGTGACCTATAAGGCTCATGGACCTCTTATTATAGAAGCTGTTTATAACCGTATTTCTATAATGAGATATATGGGGATAACAAACAGTTTTCAAGGTCAAACGTTCATAAAACAATACAAAACAGGAGCACAGTAAACACGGACCTTAAAAAACATCAGAGGTGGGATCAAGTATAATGAAGGAGTGAACATTCCCTGTTTACCAGTTACATCCGCCAAGTGCTCCTTGTCATGAAAAGGTTATACGCCTCATTGTTAAGGCTGAAAAAATGAGGTGGGCCTAATTTATACGGGAAAAGTTTACTGTGACGTCAAGCAAAAATTTCACTTTCATGCATTCCTCATAATACCAGAAAATGAAATAATTAGCAACATTAAACTGCATTATCGTAATAAACAACAATAACACTTCTCAATCCATTTAAAAAAGTTGATAAACAAGTCAAAAATCTCGATGAACTTGTCAACCCTGACGTCATTTTGGTAAAATTGACATATTTTATGTGCTGTGAGAGATAGATTGGGGAATTTTTTAACAATGAAATACGCCTTTTATTATAAAACAGAATATTATTTAGAGGTTTTTTAATAGGCTGTTTAATACCAATGTATAACCTTTGTTTGGTGCGATTATTCACTAACTTTCGAGAGAATGTATTTAAATAATTTTTGTCGAGTTTTTATTTTCAGGTTAGGTATATTTTACATCGAGGTGTCTCATTAAAACGTTCTTTCGCAAAGGCATACACTAAATAAATATAAATAAATGATACGTTCCTTAACTTGTGCTGCTGCTTTCTTTAAATCGAGAGTGTGACTTTATAAGTACACAAAATATTTGGTAAAGGTCAAACATATTTCGACATAGGAATACTTACTTGAAATTTTAACTATTAAAACCCGAATTCTATTCAAGGCAGCAGCACTTTCCAGGTAGTACAAAGTATACAGAAACAATTAATTGCTTGGATTTTTAATTTCAAATAGGGTATCTCCTTGTGATAGTGAAATTTGTTGATGACTTACATTCAGTAAACGTACTATGCATTCATCATGTGACTGTTCAAACTTCACTTGAGATTTCTTAAACGCTCCGCCATTGAACCCTTTCATTGGTTAAGATTACTAAAAAAAAATAATAATGAAGATTTAGTCCCATGGTGCAGCTCTGATTTTTTTTTTCCGAGAGTAGTCCTCAGATGTGGAAAATAGTATTTTCCCAGTGAAAAAGACAGTTTAATGGTATTAATGTTATATATAGAGTAATAACAGTAGAGGTTTAATGAGAACAAATATATGATAAAAAATTATTTGATTTACTGTAGAAAAGTATTTGTTCAGTATTGGGAAAAGGTTAATACCATAGTTAACTTAAGTTAATTACAGTGTACTATCGTTATAATAGTTAACAATATCAATTTTCGTTATTTCTGTTATCTTTTATTTGTTTCAGGAAAACACGCTTTGAGACAAC